GGCTTGGATTACAAAACTCAGATTACCAAGCAGTGGAGGGTGGGGGTTAGGAGTGGAGGTTATGGGCAAATGAAGGGAAAGATTATGGGTGTTACAAGCACAGTGGTACAATTAGTGCCTTTGGTTGTGGTGATGTGTGGTAACTTTATAGATCAAAGTCATAAAAACACTAGCACTTATTGTAATCATGTTACCTAAACTATAACAAAAAATAAAGATAGTTTTTTTTGTTCTAGGTGGTTTAAATAACCCAGTAATTATTCTCTGGACTACTAATATTAGTTGAGTTGCTTAACTGAGCTTTGGAGGGCAGTTTTTGGTTTTTTTTTTTTTGCTTTTTGGGTCACACCAAGGGATGCACTCAGGAACTACTTCTGGCAGTGCCTGGGGGTGGGAGGGGGATGGGAGATGACCATATGGGTTGCTGGGAATCGAACCTGGGTTGGCCACGTGCAAGGCAAATACCCTACCTGTTGTTCTATCATGCTGGACCCTACAGGGCAGTTTTTTTTAATTTTAATTTATTTATTTATTGAATCACTGTGGGAAAAGTTACAAAGCTTTTAGGTTTAGGTCTCAGTCATGCAAATATCAAACACATTTCCCTTTACCAATACTTATTTTTAACCATGAAGAACCCCAATAAAACCCCACCCCCACCCCTCCCAGTCCCTGTGAGGCAGATGAATTCTAGTTAGCACTCTATCTGCTTTGATTAGATTCATTGTTTCAATAAAAGATTCACCACTATTATTTAGAGTTTACCCCCCCCCCCCCCCAATCAGACATGCTGAAAAAGCATTGTGAAGTGATTTGCTTTCTACATAAGAAGTAAAGCACAAAAATAACAGATACATGGAAGGTGCTTTCGAAATGGAACCTGTTCCTAAAACAATCGCCTCCCTCAGCAGGCTGGCTCTCCACCCCCTTGGGGGAAAACTTTCTTGAGTTCTGGCTCTGCTGTTGTTCAAATCCTCTCTTGGCGTTTCAGTGCTTTGGATCTCCAAGGGCTATTTTCTATCGGCATTATCTGCCCTCCCAATCATTTCCCCCCTCCTCAACCTCTGGATCTCTGTTCCACAGAAACAGAGACATGAGTCTTTCTTAAACCCAGTTTGAACTTTTGTCCCTTGTTTTTCATCAGAATGTATTTGCCTGTGTCAAAGTCTATTCATGCCCTGTTTACAGAGCAACTTGGGTAAGGGCAAATAAGACAAAACATTTTTCAACTTGCAGAAAATAAAATTCCCATCCCTATGGAAATGACTGGGCAGATTAGGATCTATGCCTAATATGCAGTCTTATGTGCTTGTTGTTTGTTTGTTTTTGTTTGAGGACCACATCAGGGTGTGCTCAGGGTTTTCTCCTAGCTCTGTGCTCAGGAATTACTTCTGGCAGGCTTGAGGCCCCATTTGTGGTGCCAGGGCTTAAATCCAGGTCAGCCTCATGCAAGGCAAATGCCCTACCTGCTGTACTATGGCTCTGGCCCTGTGTTTTCAAGAGTAGCTCTAAATGACTGAATCTGGATATATAGCTCTCTGTGCTTTATTGCTAAGTGATAAAAAAAAGAATTGTGGAACAATTCAAGGGTAATCTCACTTGTGCTAAGTGATTAAAAAAAAGAATTGTGGAACAATTCAAGGGTAATCTCGTGCTTATAAAGGGGCCCTGTAATATAGTTATGAAAAGAATTGGAATAAACGTATTCCAAAATTTTAACAAAGCTCTAAAATAGTGCTAGTTATTTTAACCCAAACCATAATGTCATATAATGTTATGGTTTGGGTTTTCTTATTTACAAGAACTGTTAATTTTGTCATCGAAATGACAGAATGCATAGAAAAACAAAAGATGAAATAAACCACAATTATGTTATAATTATTAGATTTTGGAGCACTGAGTTGCCATGATTTTAGGGGGGAAGAGAAAAATAACCAAAGAAGATCACCTTTCTGTCAAAGTCAACCAGAAACAGGACTTTTGCTAGGAACCATTTAAAAAAAAATCTTCAGCTCTATGTACTATGCCCTTTCTTTGAACCTTCAAACATGTTGTATTTTTATGGATTTGTGTGTGTGTGTGTGTGTGTGTGTGTGGCATTTATCCATTGAATTCATAAGCATTTTGCACATGTTTTGCTGACTCTCAAGATTTAAGCAACTTGAAGATATCATGATTAACAGAAAAATAGTTTTCAAATCCAAAGATCTGGGTGTTGGCTCTTATTCTGGTTATTTTTTTGCAATGTGCCAAATTAGCTCCAATTTAGCCATTTAGAAAAGCAGTCATTTAATTCACATTTAGAATTTTGCGGCCAGGAACTTGAGCTGAGTGGAGTGATTCTTTGATGCCACATGGTGCTGCCTGAAATAGGTGATAATGACCTTGGAGTGGATCTGGACAACAGGATTCTTTTTTGTTTTTTGTGTTTTTTTTTTCAATTTCCAAGTTCTCTCTCTCTCTCTTTTTAAAATTAAATCACTGTGAGATACAGTTACAAAATTTTCATGTTTGAGTTTAGTCATACAATAATCAAACACCCGCCCCTCCAACAGTGCGTATGCTCCACCACCATTGTTCCCAGTGTACCTCCCCCTTTACAAACTCCCCCTGCCTCTATGGCAGACAATTTCCCCCATAATCTCTCTCTACTTTTGGCATTATGATTTGCAATACAGATACTGAGAGGCTATCACATTTGGTCTTTTATCTACTTTCAGCACACATCTCCCATCCCAAACAAATCCTCCAACCATCATTGACTTAGTGATCCCCTCTCCATCCCAGCTGCCTTCTCCCCCAGCTCCTGGGGCAGGCTTCCAACTATGGAGCAATAGGACAACAGGATTCAAGACAGTTCCCCGCATCACCTGATGGGCAGGGCAGCCAGAAGGCTAGGTTTGGCTAAGTCCTCTCCTTCCTGAGTCCTCTGCATCTTTCCACAGTCTATTCCTTTGTGTGTGTGGTGGTTGTGGGGCAGGGCGGAAGGGGGGGGGAGAGCTATATCCCTTGAGAGCTATTTCTGGCTCTGTGCTCAGGGATCATCTCTGCTTAAGGGATGATGTGGTGTGAGGGATCAAACCCAAGTTCCCTGCATGGTAAGCAGGAGCTCAGCCCATTAAACCCATCCAGCCTACCAGCCTTCTTACAGGTGCTTTGGGGCTTCAAGAGAACCAGTATAGACCAAGGAAAAACTTCTCCTCGGGTCGTGTTCTGGTCAAGCAGCCACAGAGCTCATCTACATTCAAGTGGGTCAGAATCCAGATCTCCTCCATTGCTTTAAATTAGTTTTGTGTCAAAAATTTGTAACCATTTTTGACCATCTAAGTTTTATTCTGAGATCATAATCAGTATGTTTAACTGAGAAAAAAACAAAATCTATAATATATGTTAGTTCAGTTCAGCAACCCTGAGCACTGCTTGCTTGATAGCACAGCGGTAGGGTGTTCGCCTTATAAGCGGCCAACATGGCCGACCCGAGTTCGATTCCTCCGCCCCTCTCGGAGAGCCTGGCAAGCTACCGAGAGTATTCGATATGCCAAACACAGTAACAACAAAGTCTCCAATGGAGACATTACTGGGCCCGCTCGAGCAAATCGACGATCAACGGGAGGGCCTTTACCCTTTACCTTATAATATATGCAAAGGTATTCTGGAATTATAAAAATATTATGTGTTCTGTGCGATGATTGTCTCAGTGTAATTCTACCTTACTTAACGCAGGAACTCATTAGATAGTAGATGTCTATTAGATATTATATGTCAAAGACATTTGTGGGCAGGGAATTTGGGCCACACCTGGTGGTTCTCAGGACTTATTCCTGATTCTGTGCTCAGGGATCACTCCGTGTAGGGCTCAGGAGACAATATGCGGTGCCAAAGATTGAACCTGGGTCAGCTGCCTGCAAAGTTACCTGCACCTTACCTGCTCTACTGTCACTTTGGTCCCCATAACTTTGAAAGTGAACTTCACTATCATTATCACTATCATCCCATTGGTCATCAAGTTACTCGAGCGGGCACCAGTAACGTCTCTATTCCTCCTAGCCCTGAGATTTTAGTAGCCTCTTCTTTTTTCTAATTTTTATTAGTGAAACACCATGAGGTACAGTTGTAGACTTACAGATTTTTGTGCTTGGGTTTCAATTATACAACGTTCGAGTACCCATCCCTCCACCAGTGCCCCCTTCCCACCACCACTGATCCCAGTATCCCTCTCACCCCTCTCCCCCACATCCCACCCCGCCTCTGTGGCAAGGCACTCCTTTTGTTCTCTCTCTGCTTTTGGGTGAGATTTTAGCAGCCTCTTCTTAATTGTCTTTAAAGTAAACTTATTTATTATTATAGGGGATGGGGTTTGGGGCTGCAGCTGGTGATGCTCAGGACTTACTCCTGGCTCTGTGCTCAGGTTTTACCTCTGGTGGGCTTTGGGGTGCCATATGTGGTTCCAAATCCAAACTTGGTTGGCCATATGCAAGGAAAGTGCCTTAGTACCTTTACTATCTCTATGGCCTTAAAAATAAACAAATTTATCAGTTATTTTCTTAGAGACATACAAAGAATATGGTACTTGATGATCACACAGGAGACATGGTGTAGTTGTAGTTTTTTTGGTTAAGTGGAGTAAATTATATCTAAGCTTTGTCACCTAGTTATTATGTGTGTGGCCTTTATTGACTCACATTACCTTTTGGAGCCTAATTTTTTTATAATGTGATTTCTATTAGAGTGATACAACAAAATGATATGGAAATTCTGGATTCCTCTCTTGTTTCTCTGCCCTGGTTCCCTCCACTTCTACAAATAACTCAATCTATCTTCATTCTTACATTGAACGATGGGGAAAAGGAAGGACTTCCCTCTTAATTTCTCCTGATCTTCTGTCCCGAGGCTTCCCTTCAAAGGAATATGGACCCCGTGAAGCTCGGGTGGGGAAGTTCCCTTTCTCTGATCAATGGACCCTGGCTTCCGGGTCTGACCTGTGGTTTTGTCTTTCACAGATGTACGAAATCAAGTCGGAGGGCACCATTGCCAAGAAGTTCAATGATATTCTAAAGAAGATGAGCTCGCCCCTGCAGCCCCGAGTCCCCGAGCACAGCAACACCACGATGAAGAACCTCTCGTACCCCTTCTCTAGGGAGAAGATGTACCTGTGAGTTTTGGGCATCAGGGCATGGGGATGTGAGGGAGGATGAGAGTTCCGTCAACCCACCCCTTGATGCCTGGGAATGAGGTGAAAACACCCATGTCTGCTGAATGAAACCTTTAACCATGGAAGATGCTTACCTCCCATCTCCTACAATCTCAAGAAACTCTGCTTTCAAACACCTTCTTCTGGAATAACCTTTTATTTGTTGCCATCAAAAGACACTCTCCTTCTTCTGAGTTTAGAAAACCAATGGTGTACACATCTTCTCACAGACTTTGCTCCAGCTACCACAGGATGGTCTGGGGAATGCTGGGAGCATAGGGTGTCTCTGTGACCTGGAACATGCTGTTCTTTGCATAGACCACATTGCTCAGGGATGGCATGAGGCTTAGAATAGACATATGAAGCTTTCGAAAAGACACCATTATTTTCTTGGTGCTGCCTGCAAAATCAGAAGCATGATATCTAATGGGCATGGCCGTGATTACAGTGAAAGAAAACAATATGCAATGTAGCAGTCTTACCCACTAGATGAAAATTAGAAAAACCAAGATGCAGTTAGAGTTCAATTGACTGTATTTTTCTTCTTTTATCTTTTTATACAACCATGGTCCATACACAAGAAACCCTTGTGTTTCATTTGTAAAATAATAAAAAGTTTATTTTGTTGGGGGTTGGCAAGCCATGCTCAGGAGGCTTAAGGGGTCCCATTGGCAATCTTGGTGGGTATTTCCCAATAGTTGCAAAGTGCTTGTAAAATAATCCATCTGGCAGAGGTTTCAGTGCAAGGGCCCAAGTATGTGATACTCATGGGTCCTGCTAAAACTGGGCATACCTGAGCCAGCCCATTGGTGCTGGGTCCTCTAGGAACCACCAGGGCTTTACCCAGTGATGCCCGGGGATAATATGTAATGTCAAAAATCATTCTTGGGTTGGGCACATCCTAGACATGAACCTTAACCACTATACTGCCTCTTGGCTCCATAAACTTCTATTGAAAGAAGTACCAAAAGATAATATTTGGATCATATCATTGGTCCCTATTTACAACATTCCCATAAGTGAATCTTCAATGGCATGTAGAATTTGGATGTGCGTCTTAATCCTGTCATCTTTAGTTTTTTTTTCCTTTTTGGGTCATACCCAGCACTGCTCAGGGGTTACTCCTGGTAATTACTCCTGGCAGTGCTTGGGGTACCATATGGGATGCTGAGGATTGAATCTGATCAGCTGCGTGCAAGGCAAATGCCCTACCAGCTGTATTATCTCTCGGACCAATGTCATCGTTGCCTTAAGGGACTTGGTGATGAGAATTTTCATCTGTGGGGCTTTCCCCACTGTCAATTCATTCTTTCTGTGCTAAGTTCTGTGAACAGTGGGGTTCATAGATCATAAATACTGTGTGTATGCTGAGTACACTTGTGCTGTACTCACCTCGCCGTGTCACTTTCTTTTATTATTATTATTATTATTATTATTATTATTATTACTTGGGCTAGAGCGATTGTGTAGCAGTAGGGCGTTTGCCTTGCACATGGCCAACATGGCTGACCTGAGTTCGAATCCTCCGCCCCTCTAGGAGAGCCTGGCAAGCTACCCGTGATGTATTCGATATGCCAAACACAGTAACAACAAAAGTCTCCAATGGAGACGTTATTGGGCCCGCTTGAGCAAATCAATGAACAACGGGAGGACAGTGATATTACTACTTAATTGAATCACCGTGAGATACAGTTACAAGCTTTCATGTTTGAGTTTCAATGGTACAATGATCAAACACATCCCTCCACCAGTGCACATTATCCACCACTAACGTTCCCAGTATACCTCCCCTTTCAACCCTCCCCCCCTCTTCTATGGCAGACAATTTCCCCCATATTCTTTCTCTACTTTGGGGAATTATGGTTTGCAATACAGATACTGAGAGGCTATAACGTTTGGTCCTTTAATATACCTTAAGCACACATCTTCTATCCCGAATGATCCCTCCAACCATCATTGACTTAGTGATCCCTTCTCTATCCCAGCTGCCTTCTCCCCCACCTCATGAAACAGGCTTCCAACTATGGGGCAATCTTCCTGGCCCTTGTATCTACTGTACTTGGGTATCAGTCTCATATTATGTTATTTTATTTTCCACGAATCAGTGCAGTCCTTCTATGTCTGTCCCTCTCTTTCTGGCTGTGTCACATATTTAGTGAAACACCATGAGGTACAGTTGTAGACTTACAAATTTTTGTGCTTGGGTTTCGATTATACAATGATCAAATACCCATCCCTCCACCAGTGCCCATTTTCCACTACCATGGATCCCAGTATCCCTCCCACACCCATCCCCCCAATCCCACCCTGCCTCTGTGGCAGGGCATTCCCTTTTGTTTTCTCTCTCCTTTTGGGTGTTGTGGTCTGCAAAAGAGGCATTGAGTGGCAATCATGTTCAGTCCATAGTCTACTTTCAACATGCATCTCCCCTCCTGGGAGGATCCTCCAAACACCCTTTATTTGGTGCTCCCTTCTCTATCTGAGCTGCCCTTTCCCCTAAACTGCCCGGCTGGCCTCTAAGCCATGGAGTAATCCTCCTGATACTGATCTAGGCTATTCTTGGGTATTAGTATCCTATTTTGTTACTTTATGACCCCCAGATGAATGCGAGTTTTTAATGTCTATCCCTCTCTTTCTGCTGTGTCACTTTCTTAAGTCTCACTTTGGTCCCAGGTGACAGATGTCACGGGACAAGGGTCATGAAATGAGTTGACCTTACTTTTCTTTGGTATCTCCAGGTACAACATCCACGATAAGGACACTTTCTTCGACAATGCTACCCGCAGCCGAATTGTAAGTAGATGGGCTAACCCGCTGCCTATCCTGCTGTGGAGGGCTTGGGAAAGGATAGAGACACCCAGAGTGCCCGGTTTGGTAGGGCATGTTCTTGTCCTCTCTACTATGTCATTATTTTCATCATTATTTTCTTGAAATAGCCTAGTGGCTGAGAGAAGTATCCAGAACTTTCCAGAATCTCAGTAGCCGAAGAAATAGTGAACAAATGCTCTCACTGAGAGAGGAGTCACCTCTCCAGGGTTCTCCACTCCTGCCATTTCTTGTAATCACAAAAGCAGAAAGAGAACTGGGGTGGCTTCCAACTTGTCAGAGGATTCCCCTTCTTTTAGAGTTGAGGAGACTAAACTTGTAAGAAGCAGTGAACTGAAAGCAAATTCACAGGGCTTGTTTGTAGCCAAAGGTGGACTTACTTCTAGGTGAGCGTGTTTTTTTGTGAGGTTCCTCTCTTTCTCCCCCAAATGGGTCCTGTTCATTTCTATCACAGAAAATGCCTGAGTGAACCAGGTGTCTTGGGGTAAAATGAACAGCCCTTCCATTGAGAATCCAGACTGATGGATCTAGCTGTTCTTCACAGACCCACTTGTAGGGGGTTATGTTTTTGAGTTTTGCAGGATGTTTGAGTCTGGGCCCTTGGCACCCAGATGTGAGTTGCTGGATATCTCCATCTATAGATCTAATTCTTCTCCACCTACTCTAAGATCATTTGGACCCTAGAGAGAGAGAGGAGAGTGGAGGTGGGGAGAGGGAGGTCAAAGGAATGCTAGACTTTTACACAACACCAAGAAATAGGGCAGTTTTCACTGGTCCCTAAGAAAGAAAATAAGTTTCAACAGGAAGGTTGAGTAATACCTAGAAGGACTCCAAGTCAATAGAATGATGAGTCTTTACTTCCTCAACCCAAATTGTATTAGAGAGCAATGGCAATGCTACATTCATAAAATTTGATTTTAGAAAAAAAAAGACTTACAGTGTACAAGGGAAATAAAAGAAGATGAGTAGGGGCAGGTGACTTGGTGGAAGCCCAGTTTCCAAGGTAGCTAAGTGTGTGGTTTTGACTCTTGCTTGCAGAACGAACCAGAACATGCCTCGGGCCTCTTAGCTAGTGTTTTAGGGGGGTTTAAAATGGGCATCTGATTTCTTTCATCTTCCCGTGGAAAAACAGCATAAATTTCCCATTTTCTTGGTTGGTGCTATGACAAGCCATTAAGAGCTCCCTGTGGCTTGGGTCCCATGACTGTGAGGGAATTATAGGGTGTTGTGGATATTACCCGATAATTGCAAAGTACTTGTAAAATAATCCAATGCCATATAAATGCTGTTCCTAATTATTATTGCTATTGAATTACTGTTCTGCATTATAAGCAAATGAAGCATTCCTGGGCCCCTTTCTGCTGGAAGTTATTACTTACCACTCCCTTTAGGTCTGTGGCTTGACTGTGGGCATGTGAATGATGATGGAACAACACATCTTCTCTCGTTCACCCCTCTTCTGGAAATTCCTTCCTTCCCTTCCTTCTCTTTCTTTCCCCAGTCTACTGCAAACTGACGTAGAAGTAGAGAAAGGACCTTGGGTTTTTTTCTGGCCTCCACCCTGCCCTGGGCCCTTTGTTCCTACCCAGCTGATAGTCCCAAGTCAACTGCACATCACTCTGTGCCCTGATGCAAGTTTGATATCCACCAGAGGCCAAAGGTTCACCCTGCCCTCCCCTCCCCGCTCTCTGTTCCCTGCAGAACCACCTCTGCCATGTGAAAGGATGGTGCAGGCAACTTTCTGGGTGCTTCTAGGTAGTGTCCCATGTACCTCGATGGTAGAAGCAATGTCAGGACTCAAGGGTTAAAAAAACAGCAGTTGGGGTGGAGCAATAGCACAGCGGGTAGGGAGTTTGCCTTGCACACAGCCAACCTGGGTTTGATTCCCAGCATCCCATAGGTTCCCCCTGAGCACTGCCAGGAGTAATTCCTGAGTGCATGGACCAGCAGTAACCTCTGTGCATCACCGGGTGTGACCCAAAAGGCAAATATATATATATATATATATATATATATCCAACAATGTAGAAATGACAGCATCCATGACCAGGATGACTGTATTCCTTTTCCCATCTCCAGAGTCAGCTTGCTTATGGCGTCAATGTGAGATAGCTCTACTCCACAAGAAAAAGGCTCCAAGAGCTGTGAGGGCCCCTCTGCTGGGTGCCAGGACTAGCAAGGAGTCAGCCACCCTGTTTTGCGCTGCCTGAATGAAGCAAGACTAAGACTGAGAGAGATACCCCCCCCCCCCCCACACACACACACACATACACTCTCCCCTCTGCTACTCCCAGCAGAGGTGCACACCGACTCCCAGCCCTGACACAGCTTCTTCTTTTGACCTCCAGGGGACGGTGTGACTCAGGCCTCCTTGCTGTGTTTTTCCTACCTCCTGGAACTGCACTCAATTTCCAGCCTTTTCTTTCACTGTGTGTGTGTGTGTGTGTGTGTCAGAGTGGGGTGAAGGGGGAGGAGTGTGTGTGTAGAGGGGGTTGGCGTCTTTTTTCCCTCAAAGCACTCATGTTTGAATGGGTTTGACATGAGCTCGGCACATGCTCCGCTTCCCGCTTCCAGCAGATGAGGGGCGGCCACCTGGTCTACTGCCGGCTGCCACCCCCCAGGCTAGTGACACAGGAGCACTCACGGCTCTGTTCCCCTTGCCCCTTTTTAGGTGCACGAGATCCTGAAGCGCACGACGTGTACTCGCGCCAACAACACTATGGGTAAGGAGCCCTGTCCCGCCCGTGCGTCTCTGCAGAGGGGGGCGCCAAGGGGACCCCAGCTGTTCTTTCAACAGCTCGCTTGGTGGGCAGCAAGGAACAAAACAAATGAAAAGCCCCACCAGGACGTGGGGAGAGGCTGCTTTTGCTTAAGTTGGGAAAGCCTGTTTAACCTTCTTACAGGAGCTGCGCACCCCATTTCTTGGTGGTGGTTGGGGAGTGTATGTGGTGTGTGTATGTGTGTGTGTGTGTGTGTGTGCCATTTCTTGGTGGTGGTTGGGGAGTGTATGTGGTGTGTGTGTGTGTGTGTGTGCGTGTGTGTGTGCCATTTATTGGTGGTGGTTGGGGAGTGTATGTGGTGTGTGTGTGTGTGCGTGCGCGCACGCAGGCACATGCATGTGCGCCCCAAACCCACCTCTCCTGTCCCTGTTCTACCAATATTTCACTTCGTCTTGTTAATTCAACTGCTTTTTCATGATCTCCAAATGCTTTTATAATCACCCTGAAAACGGCAGGTTTTAATTTTCTATTTTATTTTAAAGAAGGGGGATGTCTCATAGGTCCTTTAGTCACACCCCCCCCCACCTTTGGAATAAAGAAACGGGGCTCTTGAGAGTCTTGTGTTAGGCCACATACTGATTGTACCTTTTCTAAGCTCAGCATTCTTAGGAAGAAGGGGTGGGCTACACACAGTATGCTCAGGAGTTATCAGGTTCTGTGCTCTTGAGTGATCCTTAGTGGGGTGCGGGGTTCCTGTGTAACACCGGGAACCTAACCTTGGTCAGCAGGATGCAAGGCAAGAACCTTCACTCCTACACTGTCTCTTTGGCCCTGGGCAGTCTTGTCTCCTTAGTCACCTAATAGATTTGTTCTGTGGTTGTTTCTTATGTGTACCAGTGTCTGTATTTGAAGCAGGAATCTCTACATCAGGGGCTTGGACATAGAAGTTTGACATGGCAGTGCTGATGGATGGATGGTTTGGAAAGCACTCATGATGAGTGAGGAAAACAATGGGAGCTGATGCACACAGCTTGGTCCCTTCATTCCATGGGCAGTGCTCATTTCAAAGGGGCCAGCAGCCCACAGCACTGTTTTTGAAACCTTTACAATTACAACCTGCCAATTGTGGCAGATCTTTGGCTTTGGAAGTAGCTCTGAGTTAATAGAGTCCAGAGGCAGTTCAAGGCAAGTCTGGTGAATAAAGAAGGCAATGAAGTTTGGGAGTCAATCATTGTGATGATGACCATCAGCATAGCTAATATTAGCAGTTTTAAGGAGGGCTTGTTCACAGTCCAAGAAGCAAAGGAATGGCAGAGAAAGAGGGATCAGAGCAGATCTTGTAGCGTGACAGTATTTTTAGAATCAAGTGTGGAACCTCTCTGGGGGTATGTGTGTTTGGCTTCGTTTGCTTTGAGGCATGCCCGTTGCTACAGAGTTACAGAGAACATTCCATTTTCTGAAAATCCAGATTCCCATGTGATGTTTTATGTCTGAAGCTGGAGACTTCTGAGGCAAGGACACGAGGGAGGGAGGATGGAGGGAGGTCATTAGGAGCCAGACTCGTTTCTGTGAGGACTTCCCTTGTAAACCCCCCACTCCAGGTGCCATTTTGTCTTTGGTTAGCCGAAGAGGCAGAAGAGGTAAGAGACTCTCTAATACATTTCCTTCTGCCTCTGTCCTAGCCCTGGAACTTTCCTTCACTTTTTGGACCACCTCATTCCTCACTTCTGCTCATCTTCTTTTTCAGTTCTCTTATTTCTTCCCCCAACTGGACCCCAGCTGTTACCTCAAATGTCAGAGGTCACATCTTCCCATATCTTGTGGACTTTTCCTTACTTTTAACTCTCCACATCCTTCCAACCTTCTTTACAGAACCCCCATCTTCTGTTAGTTGATGGACTTCTTCCTGATCAGATTGTCTACTTTTACCTCCTAGCCCATGTTAGGTGTTTTCTTCTCCAAGATTCTTTGTCCTTTCTTCTCTCTCTCTCTCTCTCTCTCTCTCTCTCTCTCTCTCTCTCTCTCTCTCTCCTCCCCTCTCTCTCTTTCTCTTTCTCCAGATAATTGGTAATTGGCAACTGTGTCTTTCTATTTATGCTTTTCTCTCTGGTTCCAACTCAACATTTCCAACTGCTGAATAGATATTCCATTGAGCTGTCTACTGCGACCTTAAATCAAGATATGACTATGTCCACTTTGTATCTATCCTTCCCCTTCCCTCTTCTGTGTGTCTTCCTGTGTGTCTTCATTTATGACTATGAGCCTCTCTGATTTTGCTCATTCTCCTTCCTTGGCTTGGATGTCCTTCCCCCTTCTCAAGCATGCCTAGCTTGGGACGAACATCATTGACCCATAGTTTCTTTCTCAAGGTTCTTCCTCAGAACTCCATCCATCTGACTCTCTAACTTGCTGATTATTTAAGTTTGTGACCTAAACTCTCTAGACAGTCCTTGAGAGGTGTCTGAGTCATCCGTTCAGTCTCAGTGTACCTAGCTAGCTATCTGCCCTACAAATTATTCTCTGTCTGCTTGGTTTATTGAATCAACTCAATGCATCTAGATTGCAGTTGCTGGTGAGTTCCTGATGCTGTGTGTAGGGACAAATAATCAATAACTCATCTTAGGCAAAGCTTGAACAAGGGCATCTATTTTGCTGAGTATTTTTGTGATTTGTTTTGTAAATTGGAAAGTCCTTTGAGGGACAGCCTTCAAAGTGTTGAAAGGTTTTTAGAGACCCTCTGCTTTAACTGAATTTTAAAAAAAGGAATCTGAGTTTGTGTGTGTGTGTGTGTGTGTGTGTGTGTATGTGTGCGAGTTCATAAGAGAGATAGAGAGAGAGACTTCAAAGTCAAACATTATAAGGATTTTGTTGTTTATAGAGTCATTTTCAAATTTTCTCTCTTTTTTGGATACTCAAGTAGCCATTATTAAGCATCTACCTAGGGTCAAATTTGCTAGAAATGGAGAAATGCCAAGAAAAATTTGATCTAATTTCTATGCTTGCCCGGCAAGCTACCGAGAGTATCTCGCCCTTATGCCAGAGCCTGGCAAGCTACCCGTGATGTATTCGATATGCCAAACACAGTAACAACAAAGTCTCCAATGGAGACTTTACTGGGCCCGCTCGAGCAAATTGACGAACAACGGGACAGTGACAGTGATAGTGATCTATGCTTGCAGAGATGGGACCCTTAGTTTAGCTAGGCTTAGCAGAAAGAGATGTAAACATATATTGAGAAGGGGCTGGAGACATAGTATAAAGTGTAAGCCCTGACCTTGCACAGATCCACCCTAGATCCATTCTTGCTACCACATTTGTACCCTGGATCATCAGCAGGGTTCATCCCTCAGCATTGAGCCAGAAACAGCCCCTGAGCACTTCTGCATGTGCCCCCCCCCCCCGACCAAAATCAGACTATCTGGTAGGTGAAATAATGGGGACATTACAGATTATAAAAGTAACGCAATAAGAGGAAGCAAGTTCCTGTCCTGGGTGTGACTAACTTCATGAGTGACTCATTATCTATTTCATGGATCCCAAGGAAAAGAGGGCAAGACAGTTATTATAGCCAGTCACTAATAGGTGCTGAGCAGAGAAGTAGATTCTCAAGGTCACATACTGAGTCACTGTTAGAATTGGGTATGGAATTAGTCATTGCTCTACTTCTATCTTCACTCCCTTGAGATTTCCTAGTAATGGAACTGGGTTGAGCCTTTAAAATCTGCTTCTTACTCCACAGACCCTGATGATTTACTAGTTTTCTTACAGAGGGCATATGACTGAACTTCTTTACTTCCTAGTCACTGAGAACCCCAAAGAGCAATTTTCACAGTGTTTGACTTCTGCCTAGGAAAAGCAAGCACTCTAAGCAATTTGGCCCCCTCCCCAACTGACAGCAAAGATCAGAAAGAAGGAGGAATGTGATGACATTGTGAGGTCTCAAGATAATAGAGGCCTTTGAGCCATGGGGTAAAATTGGAATTTATTGCCCTTCTCCTTGGCTTTTATAGAGAAGCACAAATGGCTAGTTGGAGTTAGAAGTCTCCAGAGGATTCTTTCCTCATAAAAGGAAGAGGGAAAGGGAGAACAGGATAATGCTTGGAATTGTTTTCCAAGGTGTTTTCATTGATCTTTCATCCTTAAATGACCTTTCTTTATGGTCTTTGCTTTTGGACGCTAGAATACAGAAAAGATAATAAAGATTAGAATGTGAAGGTGGAAAAGATACCCAAGCTTGTCATAATTTGAAATGCTCCTGTTTACCATTTTTTTCTTTGTAGATAACACATTTTGAATATTACTTTGGTAAGGCATTAAACTGTGTGTGAGTTGTACGTTTTCATTTATTTACGTTCTTGCCTTATTCCACAAATTTTCTGGGGCAGCTTACAAGAAAAACAATAAAACGGCATGGTATAAATAATGAATTAAATAATAAGAACCAGGGAGAGCACAAATTAAAATAGAATGTCAAAATCAGGAGAAAAAATAGAATACAATTATTCAAACCATAAGGTCCTCCCTCTGATTTCTGCACGAGGGCTGCAAAATTTGACTGGGAACCAAAATGAAAGGGGAATATGGTTAGTGGTTTAGCTCTTTTTAAATTCTATTTTGTTTGATTAGTTCATTTATTTTGGAGGTGACACAAGGCCTGGTGAAGGGTTTAGCTCTTGTCCCATGCAACAACTTTTTTCTAGAAAAAAAATGTCCAAAATATCTCATAAATTCTCCTGCTTTCTTATATTGACTAGATAAATATTATTTCCTCTACAAAAATACATATTTCAATTTTCTATTTGATTTGAGATGATCATTGAAAGCACAGGTTTTTAAATATTTCCTCTAAGATTATCGAAATATGATTAGGGTTGTTTGTCTCACCGGCTCTGAATTCTTGACTCTGGTAGTCTTCGTCCCTGAGTTTTACTACTTGACGGTTTCGCTTTTCTGTTTGGGAAATAGAAAAAAAATTTTCACTGGGGTCTGCGGAAGAGAAAGAG